TGGAGTGGATGGAGTACTGAGAAGTCAAGGACGTGGGAAGGTAAGTCAGAGTCAATCGTCGTATCGAGCAGGGCGACGACAAGTGCGATGTGGACGCTCGGAAGCATCCGGCTTCTGCTGAAGGTCTGCCTCAGATAGAACAGGCTCGACTTCAGCGGTGTCCTCAGCCGGGGGAGGAGGAGGGTCAATGGGCTGAGGAGGAGCAGTGAACCCAGCACGACGAGCACAGTTATAGGCACGCACCAACATGCGAGTGTGTTGCAAGTGCTCGAGGGGCTCCCAGGTAGCCTCCTCATCAGGGTAACCCTTCCAACGTACGAGATACTCGACGTGGGGAGGGTGAGGGTTGTCGTCAGTGACTCGGCGACCAATGATGTCTGAAACGAGGAACTCCTCGTGACCGTCCACCATGATGGGTGGAGGGCGCTCGTATGGTCGTCCGGTGAAACGCTCAGACGGTCTGCGGTAAGGACGCAGTAACGAGACGTGGTAGACATCGTGCACACGAGCCTGGCGTAGGTAGTCGGGCAGCTTCACACGGAAGCTGACCGGGCTAGAAGCCGTATCAGAACCGACGGCCTGGAGGATGCGGCATGGGCAAAAGAAGCGACGCCGAAACTTGCGAAGCGTGTCCGCTTCGAGCTGTAAGTGGCGGGCGTCGATAAGCACATCATCACCGACCTTGAATGGGTGATCCATCCTCGATCGGTTCGCACGTGCTGCCATGCGAGTCGGGGAAGCGGCTATGTGCTCATGTGCGGTGTTCATGATCGACGTCATGTGTGCAACCCAATCATCCATCGCGGGAGAACTCGTGTCGGGGTGCATCTGTGACGGTCGGAGGAAGTCCGCGGGAACACGAGGGTGGTAGCCGAGGTCGCAATAGTAAGGCGACATCCTCGTGGCTGGCGGGACGGCGTGGTTGTAGGCTATCTCCGCGTGGGCAAGATGGAGATCCCACTGCTGGTCGTCACGAACAATCTTTCGGAGAATATCCCTGAGAATCCTGTTCGTGATCTCGGTCTGACCATCAGTCTGAGGATAGTAAGACGAGGAGAAGCGAAGCTGAGTGCCGTACACCTCGTGGAGCCGTCGCCAGAATCGGCTGGTAAAGCACGGGTCACGGTCAGATATGATGCTCAGAGGTAAGCCGTGGTCACGCACGACTTGGTCAAATACGATGTCGGCGACCTCACGTGCACTGATGGCATAGCGGCACAGAACAAAGCATGCACGCTTCGTGAAGCGGTCGACGACGACCAGGATAGCATCATGACCGCGGGGGGTCGAAGGTCGAAGAGGACCGATAAAGTCCATCGAGATAGACTGCCAACGACCCTCAGGGATAGGAAGAGGTTGGAGCAAACGATAAGGTAGGTGGTTCACATTGTTCACCTCCTGACAGGTGAGACACTCTGCAACGTACTCCTTCACAAAGTCCTTGCGCTTCGGCCAGACGTACAGGCGGCTCACACGAGCCAACGTTTTGTGGAAACCCATATGACCGGCGACTGCCTGGCCATGAAACTCTGCTACTGCTCGGACACGTAGCTGTCCAGTGGAGGGAACGCAAATACGGGGCTCTCTGGTGCCCTGTGAACCGTGCCAGTACACAAGACCGTTGTCCCCGAGAGAGTACTTCGGGACGGTCTTGCCACTCCGAAGGGTCGCGTGGATGTCGCGATAGTCGGGGCAGTGGCGGTACTGAGTGCGAAACTCAGGACCCACTTGCACGCAGCCAAAAGGCAAGGAGGCAAAGAAGAGGAGGAAACCAAACCTGACAGGGAAAGAAAGCCAATCAGTCAAACAAAGCAAATGACACATCCCACAGATCAACATATTTTTTCTTTTTCCTTATATTTTCTTATTTTTTTTATTTTCTTTTTTTTTCTTTTTTTCTTTAATAACTGGTCCCACCCCGGCAGATAGGACAGCTAAGGTGAGGATGATGTGGATGTTCACAAGGATACCCAAGGAGAGTTGCACCAGCACAGCATTCAGCAGGACAGCTAGCACGAACCACCCATCAAAACAGTCCTGACAGAGGACATCATGATGTTGTCCACATGTCAAAAGAACAGCAGGACGTTCATCACAGTGCGTCATCATGCAGTTCTGACAGTGTCCTTGGGCACAAAAGGGACAACGTATATCTGGGTGAAAGGGATGTGTACAATGAGGAAATGTTGGACACCCTTCAGCACAAACAGCGCTAGTCGCAATAGATTGATAATGGTGATGGCATAGATGATGAATGCCACAACCAAGACGCACCGCATCCCTGCCCCGACAGGTGTCACACGAGTCGGTCAATAATCCATAATAAAGTATGATTCCTTAATGCAGCCAACAACTCGTTTACGTTGGAAATAGCCTGAATCATCGTCCCACCATCCCGCAGTTCCCACTGGGCAGCTGCACGAATGAGTGTCATATAATGCCCGGGTCTGTGTAAAATACAATCAGAAATATGAGGATCATGGTCATTGAGGTCATTGCCCGGCGTCGCATGATGCATAAGAAGGTGGCGACCATGGAAAGCTAACTGTAAGACATTTTACAGCAAAGCCTCCTGATGAGGAAGAGTATAGTTACTCCCTACCTTCAGGAGGTGGGCTATTATGGTCATACAACAACTGATTTTCAATAGCGTCAAGCTGATAAGCAATCGTAACAAACTGTGACGCAGTATAACATTGACGTTGATAAGCCATTGAGGTAGGCAGACATTTGTGGTTGTCAAACCACAAGAATTTGGTAGGTGTGCATGCAGATCCCAATCGGTCACCACGGGAAAGCCAGCTGTGATCTGGTGGGGTCGACGTGTAAATGACAACCGCCGACGTGGCAGAGCAGGTTGTCGGTGAGACAAAGAACCCCGCAAATTAGCATCAACACGACGTCGAGAGGAAGGGGGACTAGGAGGAGGAGAGAATCAACGAGCCTGCCGACGTCCCAATATGGACAACGAAGACAAAGGAGGGCCCGGTCGTAGTTGGCGTGGGGAAGAAGAAGAAGACAAACTAGAGGGGACAAATGAGGAAGAAGAAGAAGAAGAGGTCGAAAAAGAAGAAGAAGAAGAAGAAGAAGAAGAAGAAGAAGAAGAAGAAGAACGAGAAGAAGAAGAAGAAGAAGAAGAAGAAGAAGAAGAAGAAGAAGAAGAAGGAGGAGGAGGAGGAGGAGGAGG